TTCGCAATTCAGGAAAGATGGTTAAATTTAAAGATGGTTAAATTTAAAGATGGTTAAATTTAATAAACATTTTTAAATATAATGTTTAAGAAAACAACTGTTACCTGATTACTCTAAACTTATATTGCAACGTTGGCAAGATTTCACTGAAATATTTTCGATTTTGTTAAATCCTTTTTATTTAATAGCATTTTAATAGACATTTATTTATTTCTTTATTTCATCTTGTTTTTAATCCTTTCCCGACCAACCCATTAATTGAAATGCTCATTTTTTTTTGTTTTTTTTTGTGTGTGGGGGGGTATTTAAAAAAAAAATTTTTAAGCAAATCACCCCAAGCAAGGCGGAAGTGCCACTAGCACGCACGAGTAAGAGTAAAAGAAGAGAAGGACAGGGATCAAGGTCAAGGCATAAGAAAATGTCGATTGACATTACATTTGAATATTTGAAGATTATAGCTATCAGGGAAGCAAGCGATAGGAAGGGAGTTCCACTGACGAGAGGTGCGAGATAAGAAGCTGTTGGATTAGTAGAGACGGCTACATTTAGCGGTTTCGACAGTGAAATGATGGGACGAGTTGCCAAACGAGTAGCACGTTTAAATTCATGCAGTTTGGTAACCAGTGAAAGTAGCTCGTCGGAGTAATTGCCATGAAAATACTTGTAGAAAAGACAGAGGGAAGCCACAGCACATCTGTGGGAAAGTGACTGTAGACGGAATGCCAGATCAGATTAGATTTCCTCATTTTCCAACACACCCGTTTAATAAACTATCCTTTAATTTCATTTTATTTTTTCAACCACCATTTTTTGCGATACCGCCTTTTATTTATACACAGTGGCAGAGGAAAAAAACGTCTTCTTTTTACGCTGGCTGCAATTGAAATTGGTACACGAAGGTAAATTTCAACTTTTTTTTTTATTTCTGCCCGTGGTCTTTACCCCTACCGTGCGTCTGCTACCAGTCAATTTTTTTTTCTGCGCTAACAAAGTAAATATTTATGGAGTAAAGAAACTGTATTATTAGACAAGGAGAATTGCCAATTTTGATTTAGAATTTATTTTAGAAGATTTCGACACTTGATCTCTATGTTATGCATTCAACATCAGGAATAAATTAAGCCAAATTACATTGTCAGTGGTGTAGAAAATGTTCTCAGCGGTTGGGAACGAACAGAATTTTGACGTCCCTACCTGAATAGGGGCGCCTACCGAAATGTTTAGGCAACGTTATGGCATAATTAATAAACTCGTATCTAAAAGTTACTACTAACGTAGGCTTGCATATACATTTATGTCAGGTCACTCTACAAATGCAACTGGTACCATGTAACTCAATACTACCTGCTGCATTGTTCTCATCAGACTTTTCTTGTGAAAACGTTGCTAGACAGCCAGCACTATTAAAACAAGTCCTGTCAAGGAACGGATGAACCTTCTTGTAGTAACAACGACCATCGAGCATAGTGAAATAAATGGGGCTCCATAACTATGCATGGAAGCAATACGGTAAAGTCAACGGCCAGGCCAGTGGGTTCCCTCAATTGAATCAAAGACCATGTGTGCGTGACTAAGGCGAGCTTTCAAGTTGGAGGACAGTGGCTGTGGTTTCAACTGGAGAGGGATGGGCGCCGCCATGTCTACTTATCCAAGACACGCTACGCATAAATGAATACCTCTCCTATTTTAACACAGATACATGGAATATTTGGAAGGGTGTTCAACGACCCTGCGACTACACCTTGTCATGGGACTGATGATGATGATGATGATGATGGTGGTGGTGGTGGTGGTGGTGGTGGTGGTGGTGGTGGTGGTGGTGAGGTTGGTGGTGGTGATAATCACGGTGGTGGTGGTGGTGGTGATGGTGAATATAATTATGATGATGAGGGTGGTGGTAATGATGAATATGATGATGATGATGATGATGGCGGTGGTGATGATTATAATGATGATGGTGGCAGTGGTGGCGGTGATATATGAAGTTGCACTGCCCAAGCGGAAGATAAGAGCAGCGAGCAGAATAACCACAAGCATTAAAATAAATTAAAAAATAAACCTGACGAAAATTTGCGCCCTTTTCGCATCTGCGCCCGAAGGCGACAGTCCCTTTACACTCGCTGCACCTTTGCCTTCGTAAGGATACTTTTCAGAATATTCATTAAACTCTGTGAGCTAATTTTGTTCTAGCTGTCTCATCTAACACATCAGACAAAAACAAAAAAACTTCATATCATTTCCTATACATTCCAATGAAAAAAAAAAAAAAAACCACAAGCATTTATTGGTGCCACAGCTTTTGGTTTTTAGCATGTGTAAGAAATTATTTGAAATTTTATTACTCAACCATATTAATAAGGCTTACTTCATATACTTAGCAGTCAAGCAAATGAATTGTTTAAGTTTTAAAGAAAACCCTATAGTCTGGCGCTACAAAATCACAAACAAATAGCTTTATTAAATAGCAGAAGCCATATAACATGGACACATCCAACAGCAACAATAGTTAAAACGCATAGCTACTACCCTGCAGCCCATGTAATTAAAAGGGAAAATGATATAATCCAGATGTTAACTTTCAACACTACCTTAAACAAAAGGTTAGGAAGGAAACTCCTGTCAATTCCAGAAAGAGCTATATCAGAAAAACTTCAAAAACTGATCTAAAAAAAAGGATTTTATAAATTTTAACCGACAGTAATGCTAACTGTTCGGCCAATGAATGCTTAAAGTTTCTTGTACAGCAAGGGATAATTTCACTATTGGCATAGAATTTTTAAGAGGAGCTAAGAAATTAACAAAGTTTCTATGTTCAGAAATGTTAAAATTGTACCATCAAATTCTTCAAGAAGATAGTACATAGCTTGATGCAAAAGTTCCCAGTTGATTCATTTGCATAGCGTTGGTAAAATCTTAGAATTATAACTTTTTTTTTTTTTTTTGGTAATCTTCTCAGCTCTTTATATCTTCATATCAACTGAAATGTATCGTTCGCAAGCCCTGGAAAATATTCAGAAATTTAGAGAAACCGGTTCTATATGAATTTACAGAAACAAACTTCAGTTATCGTTTAAACACCTAACGTTTTTTTCTTTTTGCTCAACGAAAGAAAAATAATTTTTGAAAAAAATACTTGCTGACTATGAAAAATAATATTGTGGTTCGTTCGAAGACAGTCTTCAGCATCTTAACAAAAACGAGATCGACCGTTGGCTAGGATACAAATGGAGTTATTCAATACTGATTACTGAAAGTTAAATAAACTGATTTTCCCTTCTATATATAAAAATATTCTGTCCAGTCAGGATGTAAGCATAAATTATATTGTGAATACTTTGATAAAAAAGACACTATCAGTAAATCTTAAACTTATTATGATATATAATGTCTCAATATGGATCAATGTTCATCATGCGAAAAACTTTCAGTAGACACAACAAAAATGGGTAGCACTTCTGAAATAATTATATAATCATTTTATTTGCTTACAATCAAAAAACAATAGTTTGGAAGGGAACTCACACTATTATTCGAAAAGCGATAACATTTACTGAACTTGAGAAGTATCAATTAAAAAATCAAGCACTCCAAGGAGCCCATGATGCTCTGGTTCTTCTTCAATGAAAACGTCGATCAGGATCAGACTATGACAAGGTTACTTTGAGCGAACCCCAAAGTGACGAACACAAATTTCATTTCATCTGTAATTTTCCTGCTGGTCAAGATCAACAAGGACTATGGCATGCAGCTATACTTCTTCCAACAGTGCATCAGGATCAATAACACTGCTTACGTCGAAGTGCTAGAACTTATGGTAAAGCCATAGATCAAGGTGTTGCCCCAGAAGAGGGCGTACATGTTACAGCAGAATCCTGCTCTCTCCTACTTGCTTCATGTGATCAAGGTGTAAACAACCAGCGCCACTACAATAGTAGTGACCCGTTCAAGCCTACCATCGTGGACAGGGGTGGTCGATATAAAGCAGAATTTAGTTATTATGTCGCTTTCGAATCAGAATTGGGGATGTTCTCGTGAATGAGAGCGATCTTATTGGATAACACATTTCGGTTTTACTACGAATTAAAAGTAAAACATATTTTCTATTGAATAACATTTTTTTTTTTTATTTGCTCAATTTATATATATACATATATATATATATATATATATATATATATATATATATATATATATATATATATATGAAATAACGATATATATTTTTGTATATCAAGAATAGTATTGACGAAATTGAAAGAAAAAGTGACAATTGTATGAAAATTTGGTCCATTTAAAATTTAAAGACAAAACGAGTCACGAGCAATTTTTTGTCATATAATTTTCCCATATACATGTTTATGTGTATGTGTGCCATTATATATATATATATATATATATATATATATATATATATAGTTGTATATTTAGGCAGAAAATGGAGTTTATGCATGTTTCATTAAAACGAAAGACAAGGTATACTATTGGTTGTTATTTTTATATTTATTTTTTTTAGTCTTTTTTACAAGTGGATGCAGTTAATATATTTGTGTTTTCTTCTAGTATGTTTCTAATGGAGTCTGATAAATTTGTGTGTGTGTTTAAATGGGTTCTAATAGAGCTGTGATCAGATAGGTGTAACATAAGGCGTCTGGATAATAAAAAAAATAAAAGGCCAACTCTTAACAATATTAACTACGAACAAAGCGACAATGTGCTAACCGTATTCGGAAATTAAAACATCCCTAAAACACACTAAAACATACACATAATGCACACACTCAATTAAGCAGAAAAATCAAATCATCCTTGATAATGGCTAAACGTATAGCCGAAAGCGCTCGGAAATATAAAACATTTGGACAGTTCTTACACACCCTTTGTCCAGAAAAGAAAGCTCTTGTTCGAACACAAGAAAAATTAAATAAAAAGCTCAACCGTAGTACCTTGTCTGTCGTTCTTAATGAAACATGCATAAACGAAAGATTGCTGCCTAAATATACAACTAGATAGATAGATAGATAGATAGATAGATAGATAGATAGATAGATATTAACAAATAAAATTGAATGGTAACTTATTTTTCCCAACTGATATTTCCGCGGGGATTATATCCAGTCGTCAAGGGGCTTGATAGATAAAATAGAAAATAAAAGTAGTGCCAAAATATTTTGACAAGTGGATGCATCTCCACGTTGAACATGTAGGAACAGAAAACATTTAATTTGTTACTATTAATGTTCTAGACCTGATATTGATATTTTTTTATTATAAAAAAACTTGGCCAAAAAAATGGCCGATTTTTGGGGGGCGAAACAGAATCTTGTTTCTTGTAATAGGTGTTTTATATGAATATGCTGGTTGGGCACTGCGTAGAGGCTCGGAACGAGAAATGGGCAAACCGAGTTCGAAATCCAACCTTGCATTCACTTTCGCCCAAATACACTTAAAAGGTATGAATCCATCTCTTTCTCCACGACACTCCAGCTATGGATTAAATAAAACTACAGACACAGCTGTTTATCAGTGCTTGGCAACCAGTCTAGGAAAAAGACAACTCTGAATTCAAAATCGTATGTAGCCCTTACATAGCAAATACTATGTAGCCATCAACAGAATCATGGGGATCACAATCACTCTATAATCTCGTATCAGCCTGAATTCTAATGGCAATAATAGAATTTATATTACACAACAGATATTTAATGATTTCATTACCAATGCATTGCTTTTCTATTAAATTCTTAGTTTGAACATTATGTAGTAAATATTTCAGATAAAAAAATCCAGCTAATAACTGTCTTTCAAAAGAAAAACTAGTGCTTTGTCAGATAACTCAACATGTATTATTGTATTAACTGATTTTTATGGTTTATCTGACACTTTGTGTCTTATTTAACCATATTTTGGATTGTAAGAGTAATTCTCCGTCTTTTTAACGATTGAATATTGTATTAGATAACATCATTTTTGTAGATAACTAACGTTTTACTATTTAATCCATAGCTGGTGGAGAAAATGCATTCATGCATTTCCAAAGACTATTTTCGTGTAATATGATATAACGATTACCGACAGGGATTCGAACTTGGTTCCTCCAATTTTTTATTCCGTGCCGCTATCCATTACACCACGCACTCAACGAACTTTGTATATTAAATCCGGCATATATTTCTGAGATATATTGGCGAAGAGGAAAGAGGTCTAGCCTTTCCTCAAATACAGTAATAAAAAATAGAAGACACAAATGAATAACCAGAAGGACGTGGGCTTTTCTCGGGTTGGAGCAGGTTGCATATTTCTCTGAGATCAATGTTTAAACTCATTTAAAAGCAAGGGTTATGTATGCTGATTTTCTGGGTAGGAGCAGCCAATCCGCTTAAAATCTTCTTTGACGTCCCTTTTCATCCATTTGGCTCTTTTGTCGTATTGAACTATCCTAAATAAATATTAATAACAAGCTTCCAATTTCTTTACCTGACTTGTTATTGTAACAGGAAATAAAAAAAAATAAGTGGATTTAAACTTGAAGTAGAGCTTAGTTGAGAATCTTCTATCCATTTTTCAATGTTTCAGTCCTAGGTAAAGGCCATAATTTTGAATGCTGATTTTCAAAGCAGACAAAGTCTTCATAATTGGAATATAGGCACAGCATAATCTTCCTCGTTACGATTCCTTCCCCATTCGACTTTGTGTCGCACATAACATTAGTGTTGCTTTTCATCATTAAACATTATTACAATTTTTATGAATAAAAATGACAATAGGAAAACTGGTAATTGCTGACGCGTTTCGTCCAATGTGGATTTATCAAAGCAAAATACGACGTTTAAAAATTTTTCTTTTCGTCCAATGTGGATTTATCAAAGCAAAATACGAAATTTTTTTTGATCATGAATTACATTGGACGAAACGCGTCAACAATACCAGTTTTCCTATTGTATTTATATTCATAAATATTATTATTTATTGATTAAATCGGAGAAATTTTCATATTATTACAATTATATATAACTGACAAAAAGCTTATGGCCATATCGTTTTAAAACATCAGTTCTCGAACGATCACCGTGGTTAAAATATATTTAAATTTGATCACTACCTAATTTATTGATGATTAGGGAAATCAGGAGCTGTGTAAGAAAAAAAGCCGGTAGTATAATGGGCTTACAGCCATATCACTTTGAAACACCAGGTTGTGTACGATCACCAAGTTAAGCAGCGTTAAGTCTGATCAGTGCCCAGATGGGTGACCGTATGGAAATACCTGATGCTGTAAGCTTTCATGTGCAGGTAGTATAATGGGCTTATGGTCATGTGATGTTGAAACACAAGTTCTCGTATGATCACCGAGGTTAAGCAACGTTGAGTATGGTCAGTAAAACATACCCTTGAGAAAGGTATGAATCCACCTCCCCTCAGTTATGGGTTAATTTGTAGGACTTGTATCACTGATTCATTATTATCTCTAAAAAGTTCTTGCAATCTAAAACATTTTGGGGGGTTTTAAATTACCTGCAAATGGTTGATAAACCGTAAATAATCAAATCAAAAAATCACTCATAACAGACAAAAAAAGCTCCTTCCTATTTCTCTAAGAATAATTTTGCAAACACTATCTTTGTCTCCGGTTTTTGTCTTCGGAAGCTTTGTTCAGCTGTGAGTATGTTAAGTGGCTTTCTTTCCCTGGGGCATTCTTTCGAAGATGTGTCGAGAAATTGCTGCTCTGACATGAGATCTCTGAAAACACAAAAGTCGAATTCGGTTATAAACACAAAAGTAATCCAAATATTTATTTACAAAGTCGAATTTAGGTTACCTCAACGAATAGACTTTAGCTTTTGGCACTCAAATTCAGAAGGTTACGGCGAGATTTTAAAAGCAATTTTCTCCTCCTAATATAGAACAGAATACAAAATCAATCAATGTAATTCTCCGAAAACAACACAAATAATACTTTTGATTTGTTTGAGAATTCTTGAAATAAAATTTTTAGCAGTCACGTTTCATAAGCTTTGTAACAGGCCTATACCGTCAGTTCAATTCTACTGGATACACAACTATTGCGACCTTATGCTAGATTAAGCTTATTTTATTAAATAATTTCAACTTTGAAAATTGTGCAAAGTTAAATTGGACTGGTGTCATTTAGAATATTATATATATATATATATATATATATATATATATATATATATATATATATAAAGCAACTTCTCAGCAGTCAATATACCACATAACACCCTTGAACGCTTAGCCTTGGAGCGGGTAGAATGAAGATCAACGTGCTTTAGTGGACTCAGCAATTTTCAATCTGCTTGTCTGAATCATCTTCAAGAAGCGAGAGAAGATCTAAAAGGTCAGCCAATCTAACAGTGATCTCATCTCACAATCCTCGCACTTGCTACATGTGTGGCCTCCTTTGTAAATCACTAGCGGGTCTTACATGCCACTTAAGATTATCGCACAAACTTTCATAACTGAATCAATAAGCTGTCAGATCCTCATACGTCGAAACCGACGCGAGAGTCCATTTATATATATATATATATATATATATATATATATATATATATATATATATATACATGTTTATTTGTGTGTATGTGAAACTGACATATTTATAAATATTAAAAGAAGCAATAAAAATCATATAAATGTTTTACTCTAACATGTTTTTATGAATAAATATAACCGACGCATCCACACGTCTGACGCATTCATAAATTCATTAGCTACAATCATTTTGTCACGTCCATGAAAGGGAAACAGCATATAACGTGCATCAATTTGAACCTTGTGAAATACTGATTTATTCAATGAATTAACAAAAGGCATTTTGATCTATGCTCGACTTTGAAATCCTTGCTACTAAAATTAATAAATTTGCTGCAATACTTTATGTCCTTATATTGTTATATTTGTAGCATTTAAATCGCACACTTACCGGTTTAGTTCAGTGGTTGTGAGTGAAACAGTATACCAAAAGGTCTGAAGTTTTATCTCAGAATAAAACCTGTAAATCCTCTGATTATACATACATCTTTTAAAAACAATCGGCATTTTATAAAGTATTTCTTCCTAGAGCATTGGTGCATGTAAACATAATGTTGGTGCTGCTTTTGCTATATTATTATTTATAAATAAATAATAATTAAATTGATAAATACTGTATTAAATATTAGTTTAGATATTAGTATTAATTTATATTATTATAAATCATTATTTCATTATATGAAATATAGTATTATTATAGTATTAAAAATTTTTTTAGATCAAAAGGAACAATAAAAAAAAATACTATTTAATAATATTTTGTATTTTATAATTATTTAATCCCGATATATATATTTTCATTTATGTTTCTGCTATCTGTTTTTAAAATGAGCAAAATTTTCGATTTTTATGTTTGCATATTTATCTACTATTTCGTAATTTGTCTTACTGTCTGGTGATTTTGTTTCACCAACGTTTTGTATACTTAAAAAAAAACACGTAATTTATATAATGTGTATATACTCTATAGAGTGTCTTAGTGGAAGAGCTTGCGCATCTTGAGGACCTTAATGCAATAACACCGAGAACACCGTCTCCTGGTATGGTTACCCGTGGCGGTAATGATTCAGGAAAGAGAACAGACTATGCACGATCCAACGCCCGGCGGGTAGGTGGTCAAAGCAACTTCGATGCTAGTTGTCAACCCTGGTTTGCCTCAGAGGATGATGTCAGCTGAAGTGTGAAAAGCCAATGTTTGACAATTGACCCATGGATTTTCAAACAATTCGCAAAAAGGTTTTTCATTTTGAAATTTCCTTTCTTCTCTCGTCGTCCAATTTCAAAACTCCTTCAATTTTACGGCGACTAAACGGAGGTTTTAGGAGTGGTTTTTGGCTCTGCTGGATTTTAAATCTAGTCTCCAAATTGCACGTAAGTGGCAGGTATGTGATGGTCGCATACCAGAGAAATGACGACAGCTGTCACATGAGGTCCTGCATCTGTAACTGGGCAGGCCTATTTTAAGAATTTCCACGGTTCACCCCAATTGGGAAGGCCCTATAAATAGTGAGCTAAACATT